CTGGCATTAAAACCAGCTTAAATTTCTGAACAGTTTCATCTCTTAAGAACAGAATGTTATCTAGTTTTTTGTATCATCCATTTTTTTAAAAAAAAAACCAAATTAGCAACAAAAAACTGTTACAAGACAACATATGCCATAACCACAAATACTCTAAGGAAATTTACAGAGATGCACACATATATGGAAATTTAGGATACACGTGAGAAATGCCTAAGGTAGTTGCAGCTCAGGGCATGTCAAGAGATATTACTGGCATTACTTTTTACTGTATAGATGCCTTTTTTGCATCTTATGCTACTGAAAAGAAACCTATCGCTGTCACTCAAGGGGAACTGACAGTTTAGATTCTAGAAAACAGTTTCACAATAAAGTGAAAATGGTTTCACAATAAAGTGAAGATGCTGAATGCATGTTGGGTGCTGAAAGGATCAATCTAAACATAGGAATTGTAAAGCCAGGATCAATACTGCAATGCACAAACTCTAATGCAATTTTTTTTTTTTTTTAGAAACACAGTAGCATCTATATCAATTCTTATCAGGGAAAAAGTCATCACAATATTTTCAGTCTGCAACTGAATATGTTTCAATTTTGAGTATTTCCAAAAGTTCACCCACAACACTGGGAAGTAGCAGAGTTCAATGTTCCTGGCACCACTGGTCTGAGGCTAGCTCAGCAAACAACAGATTACTGGGAGGTGTGAGAGGTTCAAACTGAGCTGAGACATGCAACACAGACACGTTTAAAAAGGGGCAGAGTACTAGCATTCAAGTAGTTTGGCAAGTGAATAAAATAAAACATTATTATCAAGGAACTTATTTCTGCTTATTTTTCTTCTTTAAGTGTTTAGCACACACTGTGAACTTCCACTTAAATGAAGAAAATAAAGACTAATAAATGTGCTTAAACAGGCTAACCTTTATTACCACAGAAACTGTATTTTATTTTTTGTACCTCACACTTATATTGCTACTATCACAGGAGGAGTAAGAGTTAAAACATATGAAGGAGCAGGACTGAAGCATCACGTTCATTGCAGTATCATACTCACCACTATAGTAACAGTGACAGAGAAACTCATTTGTGGGAGAGGAAGGAGATAGGTCACCTAATTCCCACTTTAACTGCCAGTCCTCCACTTTAGCCTTAGTGCTGGCTATGGCCATACAGTAGGCAGGAAGAATTTTCTTGTTAAACACTAGCATTGAGACTAAGAGAACCTCAGAGTCCATTATTTATACAGGCAGCTCTTGCCAAAGTCTTTCAGTCTGTAGGGTTTTTTACCTTGGTGAACATGGAAATAATACTGTGCGGTTCACAGATCAATAGTTAACCAATCCTTCATAAGCATGGTGTACTACTATTAATATTTTTCTGAATATATTGCCAAATACTTTTCATCTAACAGTAGATATGGTTAAAAAAAAAAAAAAAAAAAACAGAGGAAGTTGAATTAGACTATAATAGACTATTTTCATTGGAAGGGACCTACAATGATCATCTGTTCCTGGCCAATTCAAGCCTGACCAAAAGTTAAAACATGTTGCTAAGGGCATTGTCCAAATGCCTCTTAAATGCTGGCAGGCTTGGGTCATTGACCACCCTTCTAGGAAGCCTGTTCCAGCGTTTGACCACCCTCTTCAGTAAAGAAATGCTTCCTAATGTCCGGCCAGAACCTCCCTTGGCGCAGCTTTGAACCATTCCCAGGTTCAAAGGATGATCCAGGTGCCACTTGGATACCAGAGAGAAATGATCAGCACCTCCCTCTCCACTTCCCCGCCCCAGAAAGCTGTAGGGAACAATGTGGTCGCCCCTCAGCCACCTTTTCTACAAACTGGACAATCCCAGAGTCCTTAGCTGTCCCTGACAGGACATGCCTTACAGCCCCTTCACCAGCTTTGTTGCTCCTCTGGATGCATTCAGAGACCTTTGTTCACGTCCTTCTTAAACTGCGGGCCCAGAGCTGCACATAGTATTCAAGGTGAGGTTGCAGCAGTTGAATTTACTGCCTAGTATTCTGTCTGGCTCAATGTCTGAAATTCCCCTCAGGAATCTGTGAAGACGATCCGTTACTACTGCCTCTCCATCCGTAAACACATGACCTTTCTCTGGGCTGAATTCTTAGACAGAACAAGGTTGAGGTTTATATTTTCTCCTAGTCTATACAAAATAGTCTAAATCTATGTATGTTTGAAGAATGCTTTTTATAAGTGTAACCTCCTATTTTATTTTGTATCAAACTTTTATTTTTGTGTCAAACTACAGATCAGGTAAAGTGTATCATTTTCTATGAAAAGATGTATTTTCCTAACATGTTACCGTGATCAACTGGTGCACCTGAAGTCTTCAAAGGCTTCAGATCTGAAATGAATGCAACCAAGAGGGAAGATTCCCTCAAAATACATGTTACTTCAAACAAACATTTACTAAAAGAAATCTCCACACATCTCACAGAACAAAAAATGTAATGTTGAAAGTTAATGTCCAGAGTCTTCCATCCACCTAGTCAGCAAGCTAAAGAAGCTATGACACAAATTATAGTCTAGCAGAAGAAGATCTCAATAAAAAAGTTACAAACTAGATGTACACATCAGAGATTCCCATGTTAGGAAAATGAAGCAAAAAATCACTATGGTAACCCACTAATTCTAGTTCTCAACCTAATAATCATCTGAGGAAATAAAGAAAAAAAAAATACTATTCTGATATGGTGATTAAGTAAAGATGAAGATGTCACAAAATGGGCATTCTTCTTTATCCAAAAATAGCTGCCTCAACCTGCCAGTTATTAACCCTTACATGACTGACTCTTTCTCAGTTATTGCCAAAAAAATTACCATTAAAGCAAGAAACACCAATTTAGTAGAAGATAATCAGTAACTCATGAATACTACTTATTTTTTTCAGTTCTTTTTTCCTGGCTTGGGGACAATGAAACAGTGGAACTTGCTTTTCAATTTGAAATAGTATTTTGGCAAACTTTAATATTGACATTTATTGATGGATTATCAGAAATGTAAATTATAAAAATCTACCTTTGCTAGTGTGATATAGAGACACTATGGAATCTGTGATTTTGTTCACATATCACTGATGTTAAGGCAGTACGGAAACTGGAGTGCTAACAATTTTTCTGCATTCAAGTCTACACTTTACAGTGACTTACATCATATGCCTTTCATAGAGTATTCCTGTATCTAACAATTCCCAGTTTCCAAGTGGAATGAAATAGATGCATTCCTCCTTTCCGTCCTCTTCCCGTTTAAAGAAATCATTTATCAGATGTGACAATTTACTACGTCCAGGACATAACACCAATTACAGTATATCAGGCCAAGTTAAAAATTATTAATTGCACACTTAAGATCAGAATTAAGTTCCACTCAATTCAATAGGTCTTAAGCCAATGTTTCAGTCATGGATATATACCAGCATGCTGAATAAACTGTTTAACTCAGCCAACGAAGAATACAAGGAAGCACTTGTTTAACCGATAGGACAGCAGACTTCTGGAATCAATATCTGTCTGCAGAAGAATTAGATAATCAAAGAAATCGAACAATGTAAATTAAATTAGTTATGTGACTAATTGCTTTGGCATCATATTTCCAGTGCAGACATGTTCTCCCAAAGAAACTGTAAAAGTGCTTTGCAGTGATAAACTGCTAACTCATATTCTTTTCACCCCTCAGAAAGCACACCCTTTGAAAACATAGCCCAAATATATGAATTTTTTTTTTTAACAAAACTATCTGTTCATGCTAGATTTTACAAGAACAAATACCCATTCAAGTAATACTACTACAAACACAAAGTATTTGGTGATGATTTTGCCTAGATGTGCAACTGATTTCACATCTGATAACTGATACAAGACTCCTTTAGATCCACGCTTACATTTTTTTAAAGTGTATGAGCAGGATATTTTAATTGAAAGCCATATTTTGGGGTTTTTTTTACAGCCAGCACTGGAAATTTCCTGTGAACATAAACTATACATATCTCTATCTAGTACTCAAAATAACTGTACAAATAATTTTGTAAGCCAATGTTGTTTTGTGTGTAGAGGAATAAAAGAATCAAAGTTCGTATCTCTTTATACAGAGATAACCCATGAAAAAAGTGGAACATAAAAAATTAACAGAATTAAACATTGAGGCTAAAATTTCACAGAACATCATTAGACATCAAAGAATCCGTAAATAAATGAATACTTGAGAACCAGCGCACATTCAAGTTACATTATTTCTTTGAGTTACCAAGCTGTGTTCAAAACAAGCTTTGGGAAAAAAAAATCTGTGAAAAAAAAAAATACACTCGGAATTTGGTACATGTGGCTTTCTCTTCATTTCAAGTGGCTAAAAATACTGTATTTTCAGCTACAGCTGTTACATGTGCCTTGTTCTTTCAACCACAGATCCTCATTCTCACCTCCACCACATCTTTTCTATGCCCTCTGTTAAAATAAATGACTGGTCCGTAAATCATATGCCTGGATTCACAGTTAAATAGCCAAGGCCTCTGACAGAAGAAGAATGAGTAGGCATGTGCAGGGGCAGAGGGTTACTCACAAGCTCTTAAATGCAATAAATTAAACTCTGAGTAAAATCATTACCATTTAGCAGCTCAGCATACACACAGAAATTGAAAATGCAACTTCAAGAAAAGTCTTTTAAATTACTTCACTGGGTCCATGATTTTTCCTAGTATTCTCACCTTTGTTCACAAGTGACACAGGAACATATCTCAAGCACCTAAAGTTGTCTAAATGTACCTAGTGACTATTTCTACCTAGTAATTCTTTCACCTCTCAGTTCACTTTAAAAAGCTTACCTTGTATGCATTTATACAGGACCACGTAAGAGGATTTTTTAAAAATTTCAAATAGGCCATCTCTCCATTTTTTGAGCATACCAAAAATGCCCCGTCTACTCTAGGCAGATATCTGTCAAATAAGCATTGTGCTTGTTTACAGTGCATGGAATACATGATCTTACCTCTCCATTCTCCAGAGGATGGATTTTGGAATAATAAGAAGTGCATATGACTTCATCATCTTTTATATAGGATGGAGTTCCAGGACGAGGGTGAATGCTGTAGCGTGTCAAGCATTCGCTGTCTGTGATAGCGTAATATTGCCACGGTTGATAGTCTACACCATCTAGTGAACGCTCCAATATCCAGTTCCCAGGTCGAGGTGAGTTGGCTGCTTTCACAATAACATATGCAATCTGGAAAATCTGAGAAACAGACATTGTTAAAATATAGATAAACATGTCATTATAAATTAATTCTGATTTCTTAATAGCTATCAGACTAAAAACAGTAAATACGATGTTTGATGTTTTTTTCCCCTGAAAATGCAATATAGCCTCTGATTCCATTGAAACTCTTTAACTACAGAAATAAATTTGCCGTTAACATTTATGAAAAAAGATTAGTTGCATCAAGCCAATCAAGAATTTGAAAATAAAACTAAAAAGCACTTGAAAATTCACAGAATCATAAAATCACTATAGTTGGAAAGGACCTCTAGGATCATCAAGTCCAAATTTCCTCCCAACATTCCCCTAGTTAATAGATCATAGCCTCAAGGGCTACATCTAGTCATGTTTTGAACATCTCCAGGGATAATGACTCCACCACCTCTCTGGGCAGCCTGTTCCAGTGCCTAACCACTCTCTCAGTGAAGAAATTCTTCCTAATATCCAATCAAAACCACCTCTGGTGCTACTGGAGGCCATTTCCTCTCATCCTATAATCAGTAATTTGGGAGAACAGACCAACACCAGCCTCACTACAATCTCCTTTTAGGTAGTTGTAGAGAGCAACAACGTCTCCTCTCAATCTCCTCTTCTCCAGACTACACAACCCCAGTTCCCTCAGCTGGTCCTCATAAGACATGTTTTCCATCCCTCTCACCAGCCTTGGTGCCCTTCTCTGGAGCCACTCCAGCACCTCAGTGTCCTTCTTATCCTGTGGTGCCCAAGACTGGACACAGTACTCAAGGTGAAGTCTCACGAGTGCTGAATACAGGGGCACAATCACCTCCCTAATCCTGCTGGTCACACCATCATTTCACATAACTTAGCAGGTAATTACTAAGCTGCAGTTTAAACCAAATGTTTCTTAAGTTTGTTTTCAAGTATTTAGAATTTGTAGAAGTGGGTTTGCTTCTGTAGGCACATTTATAGACATACACTTTCTGCAATCTTTAAGAGTTGCCAGACTGTTCAAGCTTATTGCTGTTAAGAAAAATCATAGGTTTAAGCTACTGAAAGGTAATCACATCATGCTGAAATAATTCTATAAAACATTCTTGCTTCAGTCACACAGCTCACCACTGTGGCCATAAATAAACTTTATAGGACAGAGACACGCCAAATATCACTATAAACTGAATATAAGTACACAATCAATGCTCATTGAAGTCCATTTCACCTGCCTATTCAATTGATTTACCAAGGTTTATTTCTGTGTAGAAACAATACATTTGCAATTGCAGAATGACATGCTTTGGTGATGTTGTTTTGGTTTGGTTTCTTTTTTAACCTAGTAATATCTAGATGCTCCTGGGGTAGAACTGAAGCTAAAGAAAGGAAACAGCTATTTCCATTAGAAAAGCAGAACACATAGCAAGTTAATATTTTAAGGTGCAGTGCTGTGAGTCTGCACATGAGGATGCCAGAGGGTATCATGGAAAGAACAGTGTTGATTGAACACTTAATGTTTGCTATACTGGATAGTCATTGTAAAGAAGCTGCGTAATTCAGACTTAGTCCACACAAAATTTGTTGAGTACTTAGATAACCAGTAACACTAGTGAAAGAAGATCCTACAGTAATTGATAAAAGAAACAGTAAGAGGACTCAAATCTGGTTTTTAATAACCACCATTATTATTATAAAATAGAAATTATGTTAAAAAAAAAAGAAAATAAATAAAATGAAATCCCCAGAAACAAGGAGAAACTTGTGTTTCATTCCACTGTTTCAATGGGAATCATACAATCAATTCTCCCATGTTTCACAAATTCCCTTTCCTTTCCCAAATGCATTGATAGATATATTTCATTGTGACCACAAATAACTGTACCTATACTGGATCAGTGTCACCAATACTGTTTATAATAAATGGAGAAAAACACAACATGAATATATCTCTCCAAACTGTTCTATCTCAGTTAAGCTCTCTGAAATGAAAGAAAATAGCTGGACTATTTAATAATATATTATTTCCTAAGGGAGGTAATAAGCAACAGTTATATTTTATCAAGAGTTTTTTTGTACATTATCTTTTGCATGAGTAAAGAATGTACAGTGTAGATCGTTTGTATACCAGCTTGATCTAGTCATACCACAAAAATTGCTTTGAGTTCCAGCTGTTCAGAATAGAGATTTCATTGAAGAGTACTTCTAAATACTTTAATTAAAAAAAAAAAAAAAGTTGTGATTTATCTGAAGTTCTCATAAGACTATTCCTTATATGCTGAATGAATAACAACTAAGGTTAAACACATTCCAAGGGCTTCTATGGTGAAAGATCTGTGGTTTAGGACATAGATGATTATTCATAACCTTAGGTGTGCATACAGAGTTTCCTTTGTGGAAAATCAAAAATTTGCAAAACTTCACAGAAGAGTCAATGTTAAATACTGCCTTTATGAAGCCAGAAAAACATTCAGCTCTGCAAACATCTCGGATGTATTGGCCCTGTGGTGCCAAGATGCACAATCAACAGGAAGTCTTTCCTCTGTCTGCTTGCTTTGAAACACTGGGCTGTGTGTGCCCTGGTTGACGTTATTCCCGATCTTTCTCACTAGGCTAAAGAAAGTACAGGATGATAATTCACACTTCTTAGAAACATCTTTTCTTTCTGGGACAACTAGACTTGTAGAGGTTTAGCATGAATCAGGGAGATGGTTGTCCCAGCTTAGAGAGCTACCCTAGTCACTACCAGGTCATAACAGTGCTATGACATGCACAACAAGCATTGTGTGCTTTAATGTGCTTTCTAAGCAAGCTGACAATAACAACTAGTGCAGAGAAGAAAAAAAAAAAAATTACTACAATTAATGGTAGCTGTATGATGATTCTCAAAGTAAGGCAATGTTACAGAAGCAACATTGATTTTCCAACCAATTGGAAAACTCTCTTTCTCCAGCTACAAGAGTAACCTTTCTTTTACTGTGGAGCTCTTAGCACATGATGTTCTGATTACTGTAACAGAACCAGCTAGAGCTTAGTGGCATGAGAATACTAATACCAATAAAGTCTATTGTGTCACTGAATTGTGTTGTATTTGTTTCTACAACTGAAAAAGTGAACCTGCTCAGCTTTCTGGAGTCAAGTTTCCTAGTAAATTGGAACATTGAGCTTCTGTTCCCACAAGGTAATTGATGGAACATGTCTGGTTCACTTTTCAAATAACATCAATAAGCTGACACATGTCAATCGATGTAATAATTATACAATCTCGGAGCACATGTGGTTTTGTACAAGTCCAGCAGAATGTAACCTGGAGCCCAAAGTTTGCTGATACAAATATGAAAACAGAGCAATACCAACCTGCCTAGTAGGACGTAATAGGCCATTAACACAGCTGCCAAAGTGCAGCTGGCACATTTTCTACTTGCTCTGCTCATGTGACGATAGTGTAATTATGGTAGTGGGAGGGAAATAGTCTAAATAGTCCTTTAAGCCTTTCCCAAATTATAGAAAACATAATCCTCAAGATGAGTAACAAAATGAGTCTTGGGTCTCAGTTTCACTGGTAATTGTCTCAGCAGTGAGATTTGCAAAGTACATACTGTGAGGAACCATTCCATAAGTTATAGTACTGTACCTTCTTATGAATGCCTCATAAGACATAGCAAAGTGCATCCTACTACACAGGATAATTTGCTACACTAATATTATTCATACAGAGCTGAAGTGAATCATTAATCTGCATAGGGTTAGCTAGTGAAGCAGGAAATCTCATTGTGCCTGACTCCCATCTGTGCTTCTATTTAAAAAATAAATCCTTCAGTTAGAAACCATTCATGTAAGTCAGAATATCGTCAGAGAAAAAATGCGGCACCACACAATTCTATAGAAGTATTTCCATTTCATTTGCTCAGTGGAAGAATGTAATAGCTCTAATGGAGGCTTCCATCAGCAATTTTGTGTAAACTGTATATCTACTTATTTACCTCAATTATACAATGTTGTTGATTATTATTCCATTTCAGTGGTCAAGTAAACATGGTATTCTTTTATTAAGAAGAGTGCAGCATTTGGGCAAGAGTTTGTTTCCTTACAGGCAGGCATAACACTGTTCAAGCTTGTGACCTTAAACATCTTATAGTTTTATTTAATAAACCAGCCATTTAAAAGTACTGTTCGGGACAGCAAAGCACTACAGACACCTCTCATTCCAGTGCAAAATCCATCCAGATGAGTCTACTGAGAAAGCTCTTTGAGAATGCAGGCTAACAGGACTTATTGCCTACACATGAACATGACTCATTAAGAGAAAGAAGAGAAAAATGAGTTTTTTTGACTGTGCAAAATTTATTATGGGATATGTTAAGGAGATTGTGTAACTGGATAAGACTTACTATGGAACATTTAGAGAAGGGAATAAAGGTGAGGAAAGTGAGGGATCAAGGTCGGATTTCACTCTCTCAGAAACATGAGCTCTGCCCTCAAACAATCTGAGGGTGAAGACAGTGCCACAGCATCCTTGCATCAATCAGATTCAGTAAGTTCTAGTACCTAGGATGGCCAATAACTGGGAAGCACAAATCTAAACAAATCCTCAATGAACTTAAAACAGTGTTCCTTGATCATTAACTTCTACCTTTACGGTCATGTATAAACTTAGCCATTAAATATATGGACGTCATGCATCTCAAACTAGGTCTCGCATTTGCACTATTTATTTCTTGTTTTGGAATAGCCTCTCCTTCTACAGACTTAAGACATGAATTAGACCAAATCCAGCTACTTCTGCTAATGAGCTAATGCTAAAGGTTTTGTGAGTTTGAAAAACAACTCCTCTTGTTCTCAGAGGCTGGTATCAATTCCTTAACATTCTATAATGTTGTTGTGGATTATTGTTTGTGTCAATTATTTATGAGAGAGTAGACAGTTGTGATGAAAGAATTTTCAAACTATTGGCTATTTACTAGCAACTAACCTCCTCGTTTTAATCTCACATCCAAATCAGACAGAGAAAAAGACTCATTTAGAAATGG